TCTAATGAATAATATATTTTATGATCCAATCATAAAATTGAGTGCTCTTATTATTCAAACCCCGAATCAACACTTATGGGAACCGTCTATCTACTTCATTATGAAGGAGTGGATTTAATCTTGTAAATTAATATTCCTGACTATTTATTTTACTATCCTCCCAATATACCAAGACTTTGACACTATTCATATGTGTCATTACTCAATATGTTAAAGAACATAATATCATAAATAGGAGTCTATTAATTACTCTGAATTAAGATTAATTCATAAATGATCATCATTGATCAATATTGAATGCTCTATTTAATAACGGAATTTGTTAGAGATTCATAATTGATCGCGTTCCGGTCCTATGTAATCATATTACATAAAGTGCTTTCATACCGATAATCTCCTTATTAACAATTTAGGATAATATTGTTTCATTCAGAATGTAATGAACCACACTAGTAATTTTAAATTAAACATCCCAACTTTAATTTATAATTACAGATAAGTTTAGATTATTTTACTTTAAACATTATCATTTGTGTATAACACTTATATACAATGTTTAAAGTTATATCTAAAATAATCTAGGGATTTTTTATATTTATAAAACATCACATGCATGCAAAATAATATTGAAAAAATTCCTCATTTCATTAATAATCAGCAAAATTTTTACATCTTATTTTATTTATGGGCATATACCCCAACAATTTAAGACAAACAACAAAAACCTAACATCCATAATACTCAAAATCACAAACTTAAACTAATTTTATCATCAAATTAACCAACACAACATCCATATTGCTCAAATTTATATAAAAAAGAGAAGATTAACAAAAATTACTTGAGGTTCCTCACGAATTTGTGACAAGACGGCGGCAGTCGGCGGCAAATGGCGGTGAACAGAAGGAAGAATGACACTATTTTAGTTGGCAGGGCACACTACAAGAAAAAAGGTCATTTGCGGTGACTCAATGTCATCGCAAATAGGTGATATGTCATCGCAAATACTTCATTTTCGACGACATGTCGTCGCAAATTAGTCGCCGCCAAAAATTAGATGCAAATGATATGTGCGACGATAAAATTTTGGGATGTCGTCGTAAATATATTTGCGACGACATTCGTCGCGAATAAGTCGTCACGAATGTTCTGTCGAATATGTCATTGATGATGACGTGTCATAGAGCATTTGCGACGACACGTAGAAATATGTCGTCACTAATAATGTGTACTATTTGCGACAACATCATAGAAATGTCATCGCAAATAGTATTTTTTTTTTTTTACTTTCTTAATAATATTAATTAATAAAGATAAAAATTTGAAGAAACTTTATAATAATATAATTGATATAAAAGGTAGGAAAACTTTTCAGCACCACGAGAAGAAATTGTGCGAGAAACAACAAATTCCATTCACACATAAAAAATGTCTCACTTCCCATTTCTGCCCATACAATTTCCATTCAGTACTAAAAGAAATAATACCTCTACCACCCATATCAAAACAAATTAATGGAACAGAAAACCTAGCATTTACACTAGTGACTGTTTATGAATACTCATGGATATTTGCGGAATACTCATGGATATTTGATATATGATCCATCAATTTGTTCTTTATCTTCCAGATGTGATGAAGTGTGATCACCGGACTGGACAGTTGAGGCATCTGCATAGAAAACCTAAGAACTTGATCCATAGCTGCAAGTAAATAAGAAGATCTGAATATAATAACTTATAAAAAAGTGATTAAGATAAGCAGTGAATTTGAGTGAATGCTCTGAAAGCTATACAGGACACATCTGGGAGTAGATTAGCAAAGGATCCATCTGCTGAAGCAAGAAGGTGAACCGTTTACAAGTTACACTTTACTTGAAGCTAAAAATCATATGTTTACCAAGTCTATTTTCCAATGCTTTTTGTTTTTCGTTTTTCCTCTGTTTTTTATCCCATACCAGGTAAGTAACACCAACACAAAAAATCTAGATGATAACATAGTATGACAAAATCCATACTGAAAAAGTTACTCGTTCAGTCATTCTTTTGAACTTGTATAAAATTAAGCGTAAATTGCAATTCAAAGAGTTTAAGAATAAAGGTCAGTTAAGACTTACGTGGCAATTCACATACTATAGAAAACTAGGAAAGTAAGAGCGAAATGTGGAAACTTACTTTTGCGGGATAATATAGACTCCCACAAACGAGTAGCTTTTGATAATAAATGAGAATTCTGACTTGAACTAGAAACAAGGTCATCCCAATGTTCTCCTTCCACCTTCACTTTGTTTCTCAAATCATGTAATTTTTCAAGCTCCTGCTGCAAATAAGCCTAAGATCGAAGTTTCCAAAGAAAATAAGAATAAAACTTGTTTCATTCCCTGAGAAGTATATAATAGAAATAAGCTCATATGAATCTGAAAGAACACCGTCCTTACCTCTTCAGCACAAAGACCACGAAACTCTGCTGTCATTTCATGAGCCAAATTCTCCCACATAGCCTGCTGTTGTACTGCTGTTTCTGCATTCTTAAGAAACCTCCTTCGTTCAAGGGCAATTCTAGCCTGTTTGAAGGGAAAAAAAAAGGCTCATATCAGTGAATAAGATCAAGTGAAGTAATTTCAAAAGAGAAACTAAATAGAAAAGGTGAATATCTAAACAGATGAGAATAGAGAACAAAAAGCCATCTGAGAGAGAGAGAAGCCAATTGGAAAAAATGGAGGATGAGGCTCTGCTCATGGGCATATAACAGAATTTTTTGTGATGACATAAGAGACTATTTGCGACGACATGTCATCGTAAAAATAACTTTCAAATTATTTGCGACGACATCTCATTATTTGCAACGACACGTGTTGTGGAAGGCAGGTTCTGGAAATCCTATTTGCGACGCCAGATGTATATATCGTCGCAAATAATATTTGGGGACCCGCCCACTTTCCCCGCCTTCTACTTTGCTGATGGAATTCAAATCACTTTTTGCGATGACATATATTAATGTCGTCGGAAAAAACATTTGCCACCCGCCAAAATAAGCCTTTTTTGCTGGGGAAAAAAATAAATTAAATTTTATTTGCGACGATATGTGTTGGCGCAAATAAGAAACTATTTGTGACGACACGTCGTCGCAAATAATGTTATTTTGGCGGTAAAAATTTGCGCCATACAAGATCTGACGCCAAGTCATTATTTGCGACGACATGTGATGTTTTGGTGAGGACATTATTTTTTCAGTTTGACGACACTATTTGCGACGACATGTTGTCGTAAATGTTCACTTATTCGCGACGACAATGGTCGTTGCAAATAAGTTGGTCGCAAATAGGCGAAATTGTAGTAGTGGCAGTTTGGGTGGAGGGATTAACGGAATGGGCGGGCGTTTTGATTTTTGAGTGAATTTTCGCAAAATGAAAGTTCAACAGGGTTTAAAAAGAATATTAGACGACAATCTCCATAGAAACTATCGTTATATATGAACTGCTTCTACAAAAACCGTCGTCTAACCCCGCAAGTTTGGAAGCCGCATTTTTAACTTCACTTTAGGCGACGGTTTCTCTATAAACCGTCATTTTATAAGAGTCGTTAAATGTTAAATATTATAATAAATATTGAGCAAAAGAATAAGATTGATTTCACATTAAATTTTAAGGGTCATTTTAGAAAAATTACCTTTAATGATAAATATAATTTTTTGCTCTGTAACATCACTTAAAAGATATTTGGCCCAGTACTATTGATAAATTCCAATTACTTCTTAGATTTTACAAGCAAAAGAACACGTATAACGTTGCTAATCACAAGTGAGACTTATTATCCTTCAATTTAATTTAATTTAATTTTTAGTTTTTTTTTTTTTTTTGTAGCGAAGAGACTTACAACTTTGTTATGGCTATGTTTGCTGTGAATATAATCACGTCGATCATTCTTTTGATTAATTTCGTTCATTCATGTTATTTAACATCTTCATAAGCAAAAATGTTATTTAACATCTTCTTTACCGGTTAAATTGGAGAATAATTTTCCTATTTAAATGCTAAAATTTAACAGCATTGCATTAATTTTGTATTGTATTGTAAATGCATTTAGAAGTCGACATCACAAGCTTAAACCTTATAAATTGAAGTAACGTGTTTATGTCTGAAACGCATATCGGTTCAGGCCCCAGTAGCTTCTAGAAAAATGAATAGTTGGGTCCATGATTTATTGAAGAACACATATTTTATAAAGTCCAGTGACTTAAATGTGGAGTACGGTGATGGGAACAACAACTTGACCAATCAATCAGCTGTAATTTATTGACTACTGACAAGTCAACAATCTTTGATGGAGAGATTTGAGAATTAAACAAAAATAGGTTTTTTTTTTTTATTAAAAAACAAATTAAACTGGATATTTATTTATCACAATTCTTTATATAAAAAATTACCTTACCACATAGTTTAAATCGTGAAATTTAGATATTATTTATTTATAACATATATTTGTAAGTTGACGGTCAGAACACTTGACCAAATTAACAATTTGGATCTTTCTGTAGAGCTCAGTAAACAACAAGGTCCACAAATATTATTATTTATTAAATTTCAAAAACAAATAATTGTGATAATTAATTTATTGGGATCTAATTTGAAACGAAAAATATTCAAAACATTTCCATGTATGTTTGGCCCATCAAAATTGTTAAGAGCACAAAAATTACCTAAAAAGTAGGATATTTTTGTTTCTCAACTCAAGTTGATAACTTAAGTTGTTTATATGAGATATAATAAAAAAAATTAAATTTAAATTTTTATAAATAAAATACTTTAATAATAGAACTTAAATTGTGAAAAAAAGATCAAAACTCAAAATACTATTTTTATCACTCTTGTAATACAAATGCCTAAAACATCTCTTGTTTTTTTTTTTTTTTTGTGGTAATTAAACACCAAATACTCCTTAATCTTAATGATTAAATTTTAAAAAATACAAAGATCATTATTGAACATCCCTCTCAAATCAGAAGGCTCGGATGTTAAAAAGATCATCCATCTCAAATCTTTCTTCTCCCAACACTTTATAGCCTAGTAGTATACCATACCATATGAAGAGCTGAGAAATTAAGAAAGAAACCTTCAACAAGTTTCATCCATCAATGGCGAACCAATCTTCTTTTTCTTCTTCATCAGCTTCAGTAGTAGCAGTTGTAGTCCCCTTCTCAGCTCAGAGCCATCTAAACCAGCTCTTGCAACTCTCTCACATCATTTCCTCACACAAAATCCCAGTTCACTACGTTGGCTCTACACTACACATTTCCCAGGTCAAATCTCGAGCAAATCAAGCACTAAACGACACCAAGACATTAATCCAATTCCATGACTTCCCAATTCCCCATTTCCCATCTCCTCTCCCATACGACACCAAATTTGTTTCCCATCTCATGCCTTCCTTTGAAGCCTCTGTCAAGTACCTCCGCGAACCTTTCGCTAATCTTCTCACTTTGCTCTCCAAAACGGCAACGAGAGTTGTCATAATCCATGACCCTATGATGACCTCTGTTGTTCAGGATTCTTCTACTTTGCCCAATACCGAGTCTTACCATTTCCATTGCGTCTCTTCTTTTTACCATTTCGCTAAACTACGCGATACCTTGGGAATACAAATCCGCCATGATGGTGATAATGACCCTAAAAATATTCCATCTTGTGAAAAGTCTTTAACTCCTGAGTTTGAAGCTTTTATAGGTTACCAAGTTCAGTTTATGAAGAAGATGAAGACGTCTGGACATCTCTATAACGCTTGCAGGCTGATCGAAAGCGATTTTCTTGACTTCATTTTGGAGAAGGCGAGAGAGAGTGATGAGGATGTGAAGATGTGGGCAATTGGGCCATTGGAAACTGTGACGAGCTTCAAGAACAGATCGGGAAACAGAGTGGATAGTCAAGGCCAACACAAGTGTTTGGAGTGGCTTGACAAGCAAGAGAGAAACTCTGTGTTGTACATCTCTTTTGGAACAACAACTTTCATAAAAGATGAGCAGATTAGAGAATTGGCAATTGGGTTGGAGAAAAGTGGGGTGAAGTTTCTGTGGGTCTTGAGAGATGCAGACAAAGGAAATGTTTTTGATGAAGGTGAAGTTAGGAGGCCTCAACTTCCACAAGGGTTTGAGGAGAGAGTGAAAGAGAAGGGAATTGTGGTGAGAGACTGGGCGCCCCAATTGGAGATTTTAGGGCACTCCTCAACTGGAGGGTTCATGAGTCATTGCGGGTGGAATTCGTGCGTGGAAAGTATAAGTCTTGGAGTGCCCATAGCAGCATGGCCAATGCATTCTGATCAACCCATGAATGCTGTGTTTATCACAAATGTACTCAAAGTTGGTGTTCTTGTGAGGGAATGGGCAAAAAAAGATGAGTTGGTGAGTTCATCGGTGATTGAGAAAGTCGTGAAGAGATTGATGAAATCGGAAGAAGGAGATGAGATGAGGAAAATGGCTGAGGAATTGGGTAATGAATTGAGAAAGGCTACTGATGAAGGTGGAGTTTCTCGCATGGAGTTGGATTCCTTCATTGCTCATGTCACTAGATCATGATTCGGCTTTATAAATGATGCAGTGTAGAAGGATCTAGACAATCAACCAAAGTCAAATAAGGCATTTTTCATGTCACTAGATAGTAAAGTCTGGAAAATCAGAGCTCATGATCATAAGGTTTGATAAGGTATTTGGGCATGCGAATAAAAGATTTTCAACGTTTTTTATGGTTGTTTTTGTCATTGCTGTAGCTGTTTTTTTTTTTTTTTTTTTTTTTTTTTTTTTTTTTTTTTTTTTTTTTTTTTTTTTTTTTAAACCAATTTGTTTTTTTTTTTTTTTTTTTTTTTTTTTTTTTTTTTTTTTGCGTTTTAGTATTGTTGTTTGTGAACCAAAATGTACTTGGATGTCGTTTCTCTTGTTCTCCGTCAAAAGATATATAAATACATAATATATATACCCACACGGACACATAAACACTTATATTACGATAATATAGATTTCATACATATACATATATATATATATATGGAATCTTTGCCAATAGACTCAAACTCATGAGCAACAACGAAAGCATGTTGTCCTCTTTAACTATTCAGTTCCTGCAAACAATAAGCAACAATAACACCAGATGATTTATACCCCGAGCGTGAGTGGACTCGAGTAAGAATTACAAATTACTTAACAATAACAACAACAAGCCTTAATCCTAATTTAATTGAAGTCGGTTAAATCCATGAGAATGAGAGATAAAGATAGGGATCCATCTAGATCTTGATTCACTATTTCCATTTTTTTTTTTTCTTGATTGCCTTTTTTTTTACGACAAGTTTTAAATCTTAATGCAGGCAAGGAAACATAGTTTTTCAATTCTTACTTGCTGGGGCGGAGCGTAGACGAGCGAGTAGAGCCCAGGAAACAGGGAAGCCCGTCATAGAGCTTGCAATGAACTCCGTGACAGGTTCATTATCCCTTTGCTTGGTCTTGAGTTGTTCGGGCACTCCAATCCTTCTTTCTTTGTGTGTTGCTGAACTGCTTCCTGAACTCCGAGACCCTTGCTTCCCAAGTCGAGATCGACTCTTCAGAGAGGTGGGCGTACAACCTACCACAACCCTCCTTTTTTATCCGGACATACAAACACATAGACGGAGTTTTCGTTAATTACAAATTACTTAAAGAAATTGTTAAATTGAGCTTTTTTCCTTAACATTAATTCTCATTTAATATAGAAAATTATAAACTGTAAATAGGAATATTTTGATGAATAAAAAATGACATGGTGACATATTGTACCATGTCCAAAGTTGTCACAACTCGTTTTCAATTTTCCTACAGCTCTTAATGCCCTTCATGTGTTCAAGACACTCATATTGAACAATAAAAATTACACCACTATTTTACGAGTTGACACGACACGACCCGAAAATGACCCGTGACACAAAATTGACCCGTGAACCCGAAATTGATACGAAAATTGTATACTTTTATTTAGTTTTTTATATATTAAAAATAACTTAAAATTCATAACACACTAAATTACAATAACATCCATTAAAATTAAGCAAATAATAATATAAGATTTTGAGTACAACAATCATGATATCACAAGTTCATAATAAAATTTAAAATATGAAATGAAAAATATATGTATTTTTTAGTTTTTTACGAGTTTCGTGTCGTGTTCGGGTTAGGCAGGTCTAACCTGAAATTGACCCGTGTTTTTCGTGTCAATTTCAGGTCGATCTAATTCTGACCTGAACTTTTTTTTTATCAACCATAACCCGTAAAATTTATATCATTTTTGAGTCATATCGTCGTATCGTGATACATGATCTTAAAATTTAATAGTCTAAATTTTCACCTCTCTATCATATGATCAATCATTATCCGATAATACCACACTAACCACCCCTGCTGTCTAATCAACTTTCTTAGTGCGCCTCGCATTTTCTACGCGGGTGGGCCCCTTGTATGCCTTCAACATCTTAGATAACACTAGTCCATAGCTCGCGCATTATTACAAAAAATACTGTTGTATTACACAAAATGTTAAAAAATTTTGTAGTATAAAATTAGTATAGATATATCTAAATAATATTTTAACTAAAAGTTTCTTAAAATATATTATCACTTGCTGTAAAAAATATTGTTATATTATACAAAAAATTAAGAATTTTTATAATATAGGATTAGTTTATATATACATATATACGTATAGATATATTTAAATAATATTGTAGTTAAAAAAATTTTAGAATATATTATAGCTTTTGCTTTCTTTTTTTCTGTTTTTCTTAACCGTAAAATACAAATTTAAAAAAATTAATAATAATAATAAAAGAAGTTGAAAATTTACATTGGTGTTGCTATTGCTGGTATGAACTTAATATTTTGACTTTGGTGAGAAAATCTGCGTATGTAAAAGTAAAAATAATTACAGGTAATAAATTTTTTTAAATATGAAGTAGAACACGCACAATCGCTCATTTAAAATAATGGTTATACGAATCATTGAGAATTAAAAAAGACGAAGAAAAAAGAAAGGATAGAATGATAGTAATAATTAATATATTAACATTAGTGACTACATTAGTGACTTGGCGAGCTTTTAGTTCCACGTGCTCTTCATGTGCCTATCGCAGCCGTTAATAATTTTGATTCAACCAGCGAAGTAATTTTTAATTTAATTTATTTAAGAATGTGCGATTTTATTTTATTTTATTTTTCATTCAAATTATTTATACTATTTTCATTTGAGATGCTTTGAAAATCTGGCGATAAATAATATTAAAATGGATAAAATCAGACCATAAATAAACACCTTTCTTTTCAATTTTTTTCTTTTTTAGTCTTAAACACGCGCATTTGATTAATTTAAAATAATGGCAAACACAAATTGTTAAAAAAAAAAAAAGAAGTAAAAAAGGTGACATAAAAGAAATAAAGATAATAATAGGGAAAATCTAAAGCAAAGAAAGAGAGAAAGTAATTTAACGTATTTCATTGTGTTTTAAATTAATTCTATTTCATTTAGTTTAATTTTTTCATTTAATTTGATGTGATTTTATTTTACTTTAGCATACTTTTATTTAATTTTATTATAGTATTTATAGTATTTTTATCTGAGTGATATTAAAAATTTGGTGCAAAACGATGGTGAAACGGACAAAATTAGACTCCAAATCAATTTAAAATAGTAAATAAATATAATAAACAATAAAAATTTTAAAACTAAACCGCAAATGCTTTGAAACTGTCTCATCAAAAATTTTGACGGCTCAGATTCGCGCGTGAGAAGCACTCGCAAGTGAGGAGCGTTCAGCAAGAGTGGCAACTGCACAGTGGTGGGCCCCGCCTCTTTCTCCTTTAGAAAGCCAAGAGTCGACACGTGGCGACCTCCATGCGAAAGACCCGAAAGCCCTTACCCAGGAAAGAGAAAAGAGAGGAGAAAGAATGGCAAACTTGGCAATTCAATTGCCAATGATGGGCCCTGTCACTTTCTCCTTCAGTTAGCCGACGGTCGACACGGGGCGATCTCCAGGTGAAAGACCCAAAATCCCCTGCCCAGGAAAGAGAAAAGAGTGAGGAAGGAAGGGCAAACTTGGCAATTCAAAATGAAGGGACAAAACGGAAAAGTGGAGAAATTTACTGTACAATGTACGGTTTAATGTGAGTGTGTGAACAGTATTTCATGCCTTCCTTTTAGTATATTTATAAAGTCAAACAATTAACATGCCTTGTTTAGTTAATCAAGTGATGAAAAGGACATGAAGTTATTTTGGAGTTGGTTTGGGGCTTATGGGTACGTGAATGCTCTGGGCCCGTTTGTTTGCGTTTTCGTTTTCGTTTTTCACGATTTTCAAAGCAAAAAAATGAAAACGGGTGTTAAAAACGTGTTTGGTGCAATTTTTTTTAAAAAACAAAACCAAAAACGTTTTTGTCTTTTTGTGGAAATCAGAAAACGAAAAAAAGGTGTTTTCATTTTCTTGTTTTCGTTTTCTGTTTTCTGAAAAACGGATTTCACTTTTTTTTTTCTTTTTCATTTTCTTCCCTCTTTTCTGAAACTGTTTTTGTATTATATATGTTTATTTAATATATTTATTTAATATATTATTATTTAATATATTTAATAATATTATTTATATAATATATTTAATAATATTATTTATTTAATATATTATTATTTAATATATTTAATAATATTATTTA